ATGATTGCCCACGTCTGAGACCGATCACCAGCGAACTTCCATCTGAGAATTTCATCGTAATTAATTCTTGAAAATCTCTCTCTGAAAATTCACTCTGCTTCCGAAGTGAAAGTCAGTGACACTGACTCTTCAGTGTTGGGGGAATATATGTTCGCTTTCCGCAGTTGAACTCGCCAGTTCCATCTGGAGAGTTTATATACGACTTAAGGTAGACGTGTGCCAAAACCAACAATAATTCTCCTCATCGTCATCAGTACACGTGGCTGACTTCGCGCATATCTTCCACAATGTTAAACGCCCAAGTTGAGCAGCTCAACGTCGTATACGGCAGTGCGACGGTCAATAATCTCATCAGCTAAGTGCATTCAAGCAGGTTCTCCTCTGCCTAGGAGTCAAACTAGACCGAAACCGCCTCCCTTTGAGCCTCCCGGAGGACAAGCGAATGGGTATGGAGACACTAACGAGGTAGTTGGCGTAAGCGGCTGAGTCAGCTTGCGAATCCGACCTGAGCTAGGGTCAGGCGGGCTGAGCCTAGCCCAGAGCAAGGTCCGCAGGAAGCGGGAACTAGGAACCTTTCGGGACTAGGAGATAGCAGCATAGTTGGATCATGGAGGAAGCGCGCCACGCAGATCGTACCCCTTGAACTACTGGCCGCCCTCGCTGCCTCGCACCTTCCCTGCATCATGGAAAGGGAGATCAGCATGTCTATACGTGAGCGGCGAAGTAGTGTAGCACGCACTCGTCCGAGACACTTCGGGTCGGAACTTCCCCCCGTATATTACGGCGGGCTAAATATGCAACTTCACACGTAACTGGAAGCAACGAGGTAAACCGTCCCCCGAAGAGGTTCGAAGTGCGACCGAGAGCTGCAGGAACGACAGGCAGGAAAACGCGGACGGACCCCCGAAGTACCAGCTCTACACAACTGGCTACCAACAATATGGAAGGTGGTGTTTCTACCCCTCCCATGGGCTTTTCTGCACTTGACGGACTTGCTGCGGTGCTTCCTACACCAATAACAACTCGGGACATTGGATCGCCAACCGCAATTCAACGCAAATTTTCCCGCACGATTTGGATCATTTTCAACAATGCTTCC